CAACAGGAAAATGCGTAATTTTCGCAGAATTGAAAGTACGTTGTTCGTTATAGAACGTGGAGTAAATGGACGACTGGCGTGCCCTAGCTCGGCGACACCATTTATATTTTGCAGCTTCCACTTTTTCACGTTTTTATGCGTTTTTGCTGTGCGGCGTTTTAACTCTGCTACAGTGAACAAAAATGTATGTTGTTGAAAGGTCGTGTGTGTGTTTTCGGAAGCGAGTGAAGTTTGTCAGCTCTTTTCAACTCTGCAGCCAAGAAAGCTGGGAGGCTGAAATTTTGGAGTCATGTTCCCACCGTATGTGCCACCCTCCCATTTTAAAATCTTTGATCTTACGCACCTAGTTTTCGCGTGTGAGTCCTCGAAAAAAATATCAAATTTCCTTGACAGGAAACGATTTTGTGAACCACGTAAGTGGAAAGCTAAAATTTTGCAAGGATATTCTTTCTGAATATATAAGCTAAAGATTTCAAATTCAGCTCTTGCATACGCTTATGCCGAACATCCGGTCGCGTCAAACTTCGCAACTGGCACTGTGATAACTCGGAAACTAGAGGAAAACAGTAGCTGAAGTTTTTCTCATGATATTTGTTGTGCACCTAAAAAATTCTATACCTAAATTAAGTTTCGACTTGCACTTGCGTTACGACTTAGGGCACTTCAAAAATATTTGTTGCGAAATGGCTATTTCGCTTGTCAGACAAGCTGCGAGGGTAAAACGTTGCAAGGATATCCTATATTCAAGTGTAGTCTTAAATCAGTTTGGAGGTAAAGTTCCCCGCACGCAGATATGGCAAATACTGAATTTTATCGCAAATTCAAAAGCGAGTGCATTTTGCTGATTTCGTAATTCTCTTCTGACTTTATTTAAATATGCATTTTTTCGATGAACGAACAATCACCGGAAAAACGACCGGGCTTCGTGCAAAAAACTAGTAATCACGCACGCTGGAGGCCTGTACGGTCCCATAATGTGTGTTGTCCCATAATGCGTGTTGTCTCGTCCTTTCTCCTTGCATGTGGGAAGAAATCAAAAAACAGCCAGTATGAGCCCATATGTTAAACTGCAGCATAGGGGCCATTCCTGCTGTTAACAATCTGTAAGTTTAATGCAGAAACGCGTGGCCGCATTGGCAAACCTGGTGCATTGCAGCCTGGATTTTGTCTTCTCTCAGGATATTTTTGAAATTAACTGATTTTAGTTTTCATAAAACAAGCAGACATTTTTCTTGGAAAATTGCTCTGCGGGTCTTTGGGTTTTTTAACTAATTCTGTTCGCCTAGTGAAAAAGAAAGTCAAAGATATTTAACTATTCTAATTGCTTTAAATTCGGAATTTACTAAAATTCATTTTCAGCATCAGCCGAATCGTTAGCACCACGAATGTTTTTGTGGCGCA